AACTACCAACTAGATTGTGATAAAGCGGTTATAAGAACCTCGAATTATTATTATTATGTGATTTTTGAACTGATGACGAGTAGCTAAAGGGGCCAGATCAGAAATAGACCATTTTGTGTTGGATTATGTGGTTTTCGAACATACTGACAGAGCTGCCAATATGTTCAAAAACAAGATCTTCTTTGAACTGCTCTGTTGGATTCTCCGAACACTGTTTTGACGCTTTTCGTGGTTATGGAATGTCTCTCCTTTAGTTTATTGAAGAATGCCTTATTATTTTTTACACAATGACTATGAATTAATCGTTTTTCAGTCAATACAATATTTGATATTATTTATTTATTACGGATTATTTAGTCCTTATCTATCCTTGATCAGGTTGTGCTTAATGACTGGCTATAACTTCAATGGTACATCTGTTGCCACTTTTTTTTCTCGTCTTTTGAACTTTTTTTTTAATTTTTTTTTCTTAATTCTTACTTGAACTTCATGTCTGCTGTACTCTTATTATATTATAAAATGTATTCTTGATATTAGGAAAGAATATAATACTGTTACATGCCTAGGAGTGTAGGATAGGAAACTTCCACCCTCAGGATTTTCAAATTTGGCAAAACCCTCGGCTTTGGAGTATTTTCTCTCTGATTCCAACTACATGTACTAGAATAAGCTCAGAAACCATGGAATGCGTTTGGACCCCTGAGCGTTATTTTAACGAAAACGAATTTGTCAGCGAGATTTATCATACCCAATATTTGCAAAGATAGTTTGTTCAGAAAAAGTCATATCATCTTATTAACTTAAACAATCAACATATCGTTTAAGGTTTTATTTCCGTCACGTCGCCTTTTGCGCATTTCGGCATCGGGCTTTCCAAAGAAGTCACGTCATTTTGAGCAATTATGACGTCACGTCACGTGAAATGGGGTGTAAGATTAATAAACTCTATTGGGTTATCTCAATCAAGGGCTAATATTCTGTTATATAATCCCAACCGAGACGTAAGTTTATTACAACATATTTATCACTGTATAGCATACCAGCATATAGTTTTATCTAATTTTGTAACTTGTTACGTGATCCCAAACAATTTAGTCTGATCCCAACAAATTTAGTCTATTTAATTGCATTGACAGTTAACCTTAACTTCTTAACTTCAAGTCTAATATGCAATCCAACATTATCGAGTATAATACAATAATATTGAGTCTTTTCTCATAACATCATGTACATATAATGCAACATAATTTAATATTGTTTGTAAAACGATTTTAATTGGTTTGTGTAGAAGCTGACCTCTATTTGAAATTCGAACATTATACTCGATTATAGAAAAGATGTCAAGGAAATATTCCCAACGACTAGCAAATACTTATATGGTCTTTTTAGCGTCATCATGTTAATGAGATGTTCAAAACTCCGACTAGATTTGCTCGTTCTAGCAGGGGATTTAAAAACACGGCATTTGTTTGATCAACTTAGCAAGAGGCAACAGGCCTTTATAGCTCCCCGGATTTTAATTCAAAGCCTATCGAACACCATACACTTATATTAGGTATGAATTATTAATGAGGTGTTTTACTTTTTTTAATGTTTGACTCCTGCGTCCCCAAAAAATACTCAAAGTCACATTTAAAGACCAACAACAAGGTCGTACTGGATCACATCGTATTTTCCGAAATGAAAGCAACCTTCTGATTCCGACAACATTATCTGTGGAAGCTACCATTGGCCATGTGCTACACGATACATATCAGAGCGTTATCTTAAAAGTGCTGATCATTTCAAAACAAGATATTGAAAACCGATAGTTTTGTTATTATTATTTGTTAATTACGTAAGGAATTAATAAGTGTACCAGCAGGAGAGTCGTGTTCTAGTCTCAATGAAAAACGATGACCTTCACATGTTCTGACTTTGTACGATCATTTAAAAAAGCAAATGTCCTTTTTGCAGAATTAATTACTTACGAGACTTTCCCTTATAGCCTGAAATAGATTATGGTGTCAGATATTTAACACCAACCGGTAAACGAGTTGAAATATATCACTGCGTAATAAAAGCTTGTCAACCCACCTAAAACAGATGATCACCGCCATGAGAGTTATATATACATGTAGTATGGTTGTAGCACCAAAGGCCAGTGACTAATACACATTTACTTTTATTCTAAATAGGATGAGCGACGAATGTCCAACTTTAAAAGATGAAATAACATTTGTCATAATAAGACATCCATGTGTCACTGTTACTGACACATTAAATTATACACGGTGATAAACACAAGTACGTCGTACAAAAAAGGGACAAATCCCCGCAACAATGCATCTTCAGAGCCAATAAATTAAAAGCACTCGTGTCAAACGAACTGTATTCTTATAGCAATATTCAACCCCTTCATTCATCTTTTATACTTTACCAGGCAAAAAACAGGGCAGAAAAGTCATTATCATATATTAACGTTCAATTTAAAACGGCGAGATAATATTTTCTTGAAAACCTTAGCTAGGAGAAATTGGGGAAAACACATTTTCATAATTTCTCATTTTATTCTGATAATTGTAATGAGGGGGATTGTTCATGCCTAGGAACGTAGAAAATGGAAACTCCACCCTCGGGATTTACTAATGAGGCAATTACTATATAAGGTTTTTCCAATTTTGAAACCAGGGAACCGGTACGCTGCCTACAATATGTAAAGGTCATTATCATAATGTACATGTACCACGCCAAACTGCATAAAAAGCCAAACTTAAAGGTAATGACAATAAGATGATCACTTTTAAAATCTTTAAACTGGCAATGGGTCATATAACAGTTCAATGACAAGTATATCGGTCATGTGCTATCTTAAATACAATAAGACACACTGTCACATATAATACGTGTAGTAAGGCCATAAAACAAATAATATGTCAGTCATGTGATTCATGTTGGAAGATATTTCTATGAGCGTAAGCTAATTAAGCAAAGTCGGGGCTGATTAAGAGCCGATTCTTGTTATAACTGGCCTGAGTACCAGACACATATAATAAGGAAAGTTGTGCAGATTTCGGGAAGCCCATTTTGACTGACACGAGCAACAGTTACACGTAGTTAGTTAAATTAAAGTATTGTTAAAGCTGGCTTTAGAAAACAGGCAGGTTTATATAGGGGCTTTTTGCAGACCGGAATGAACAAGATAAGGTCGGGGCTGATTGTCTTATATTTCTATTATCTCCCGCTTTCACCGAAAAGGGGGATATTAATTTGGGTTTGTCTGTCCGTTTGTCTGTCTGTCTGTCACGCTTCGTTTCCGTGCAATAACTTCAACAAATATTAGCCGATTGTATTCAAACTTGGTCACAGGGTTAAATGCCTTAAGGGCTCGGCCAAGTACGATGACCACTTTCAGCGGACTTTATCTGGCGGAGTTATGACCCCTTGAATAACGAAAAACGTTATCATCTGCTGGGTTTTGTTTCTGTGCAATGTTCAAACTTGGTTCGATTTTGATGAAAAGTGGTATATAGGAATATTAGGGGACTGCGAATAAAACCGCATTTAGTTTCGTTACCATAGCAACCACACAAAGGTTTCTGATTGGTGGAAATTCAGATATTGTTCGATTTTTATGAAAATTGGTACATATGGGTATTTGGGGACTGCAAACTAAATCGCATACGTTTCGTTGCCATAGCAACTACACAGAGGATTCTGATTGGTTGCAATTTAGAAATTGCTCAATTTCACTCAAGTTATTATGCCACTTACTATATAGGTTAATGTATGTAAATCAGTAACTATAATAGTTAGTACATGTAATTCAGTTATTATGTTAGTTACTATACAAGTTATTATATCATCATGTTTAGAATGTCAGGAAAACAAGGTTGTAGTAGCACACATGGAAACTCTGCTATGTTTTTTGCAAATACCAGAAAAATAACTAAAATTCCAATTTGTTGTCGAATATGAGCATTTATTCAATGCCAAAGAATTATAACATAATTCTGTTAGTTACATAATAATAGTGATCATTTTTCACTCAGCAAAAAAGGTTGGGCTAATGATATGATCAGAACGCAAATTCCACGAATTTGCTTGGTTTTTTTTATTTTCAAGTCCCACACAAAAATATAATGTTTTAGATTAAGGCACATGTTATTTCAACGAATGACTATACAGAAATGAACTGTATCTTCAGAAATATTTTATGGCAATGAAGGAGGTCGTACACAAATTCCACGCAACGCAATAGTGGGAGCCAAACACAACCTTAACCTCTCCGTGTTTTTTGTTAATTTGCAATATCAAACCGTCGACTTACGTCCGCAAATCAATATAATTATATATTGCGAATGTTCCACAATTTATTTATTTTATTAGAGTTATTCAAAAGTTAGAACTATTCCGAACGACATATTTTGATATATAATATACATATCCAAATGTTATAAGTAAAATTTCAACATGACATTTCATGAAATGTTAATGAAAAGAACTGATTTCAAAATAAGATACAACCAATTTACTTGCAGAATTTACCGACCAGTTTGCTTGGTGTTCACGGTGATGGTGTTATTAAATCGGTATTCGCGGGTAAAGCCATGTACATAATAAATTATTAAAATATTAAAAATAATATATATCGTTTTCAGTATTTTGTCGTATATAAAATTACATCAATTTAACTTTTTACATTTTTTATTGACATTTTAAAATTAAACTCAACACTGCATCATTGTTTTAAATGATCAATACAAAACAAACCACACATCTTCTAATATTTTGCACCAGATGTTACCGCACAAAAATAGGTATTTAACAATAAACAAAAAGTTTCTTATTAAATCAATTTCAAAATTATCTGGTCAGCGGCTGTTGCCAAACAAAGCCGTCGTTAGCAACAACAAACTATGTTACATATGCACCTTAAATATAACGGTATTTCAAATACATATAACTAAATTTGACTTCAAATAAAATTCAAAATATTGAAACAATTACACGATAATTACCTTCATGACAAAATCCTTTATCCAAAGAATCTGAAATGCCATATCCACAACACATTTTAGTGAATTCATTTTTACATAAAACCTTTTCTCCTAGACGACATTACCAATAGAATCGCGCATCGAGAGAATCATGTGATCAAGATATGTGAGCTTCTGTCTATAATTATATGCATAGCCAATCACGTATCAGTGAAATCTATACATAAATTATGGTTATTGATAAATTCGAATTGCCGTCTACGAGACTAAACATGTTTACTTGTATTAAAGCCCTGTCACAAAGTTATTTTTTATTTTATTTTTTATTTTATTTTCTATTTTTTTGATGTTTTGACTTAAAAAAAGAAAACTTTCCAAGAAATGTGAGATAGAAATGTTCACCGAAACAAATCAGCAATGTATGAATTATCAAAGCGATGGCATATTGACCTCAATCTGTTTCACAGGTTCGTCATTTGTGTGCGTAATATTAGGCGACGCAGCTGAACTGCGTGCGGGGATGATGTAGTCGCATGGAAGGGAAGTGTATTGTAAACCTATTCAAGTAGCCTACTTTTATCATTGTGTATACAATCGGGTAACGAGTAGGGATAATATCGCATGGTCGACTGAAGATTTTCTCACTTGAACTAAGTTCGGTATATATTTTGTGTTTATCGCGTTAGAAATGATAAAGAAGATATGAATCTTGAATATAATTGATAATTTTTTTATGACATTTTCAACGGTTTTATTAAATCCGGTAAGGAGGTAAACTCATAGAGCGTGACATATTCTATCGAAATATCATGATGATTTTAATGTATATCTTAGGCAAATCCTCAACTCAATGACGACTCTCATCGAAAACAGAGGTTAGTTTGCTGGCATATTTTCTCTAAAAATAACCATGATTGATTTTAAGTCAATACCGTTAGAGGATAAACATGATGTTAATGGTCTCGAGGTCATTTACAATAAGTAGGACGTGAAACCTTATCGAAAGCCATAAGTTATGTAAATTACTTATAGAGTAAAGTGATATATATTTTGTACACAAATACTGGGACGTTTCTATTATGGACATTTTTCAAGCTTTTGTTAAATGGCTTTTGATCGGGTTAAAATATTGTTTCCTATTGTCGATAATGTGCTTTTCCTCCTTTAACTCGTGAAGATGTCATTGACCAATGTGTTTTGACCATACGAATTTACTGAATATCGGAATTAATCGCCGCGGTTTTTTGCTCTTCATAATGAGGGCATTTTTTATCAAAGAAACGAATCTAAGTGCACAAGATACATAACAAAAGTGATTAATATCAGTTGGAATAATTATTTCATAACTGTTGTAAAATAAATAATGTTTATAATTAACAAATTCATGTTAAAAGCGAAATTAACTATGTACGAATATGGATTGTTTCAATGAAGGATGACATTTTGACTTGGCTGAAGTTCCTTTGTATGTAGTAGTGCAAACTGCAGTAATCAGAAGTTAATAGAGCAGAAATAGACACATTAACGTTGTATACATTAATTAGAGCTACATTAGAGAGATTATATTTTCGAAGCACACGCGGACTGGTGAAAAAAAAAATTAAAAACGACGCTGATCGAGTATCTCAAATTGAAGCATTATTATTTTGTTTTATTTTCAAGTCCCACACAAAAATATAATGTATTACATTATATAGACAACCATTACCTATATAACAAGAGCGGTGGACATATATAACGGACAACTGGTTCGGAACGAAAATCGTCCTGCTGTACCCCAGTGTTTGTTATAAAAAGAGGCGATTATCTGTAACATGGGGCCTCTTAGAATCGGGGGAGGGGGTCTGCGGTGCCCATGTGATTGCAGCGTCTGACATTCTACTACAACTAGCCCTTCACCAATGGATCGTGGGTTCGAGACCTACGTGGAACAGTCGCCAGGTATTGGCCGCTGGCAGATGTTTCTCCTCCGGGAGCTACGGCTTTCCTTCACCATCAAAACCTTGCACGTCTTTAAAGCTATTAATAGGACGTAAACAAACCAAACCACACCACCTAGAATCTGGGCTTTACCTTGTCTTTGGCGTAAGGGAAAATAAAGAAACAAAATTAATCTGCTACCCTAATTCACCTAATGGGATCTATATATTCTTCCTTATATGATTCTTTGACAAACAAAACACATAAAGCAAGAGCTGAAAATATAATTACAGACCTGACAAAACAGTACACAAAAATGTTTTGACAGTGAATTATCGGATTCTATCAACTTGATAAAACTGATATCATTCACACTTTGACAAATATCAAAGGAGAAATTTGTACACTTCACTTTTTGGTTTTGACGAATCAAAACGATATTTTCTATTCGCTGCATTCAAAGACAACGATTTTTTGTTCAGATTCAAATGAAGCGACGGTAGAATAAGTGGTTGCTATGGTAAATGTTTGGTAATCCTACCAGAAAATAACAGAAAACGTCGGAATCGCGTCGAGTATCCCTCGTGAAATATATTTGTTATTACTGAAGATACCATTAAACATCATCTCTATATATACATCAAATAGAAAAGACATAATAATAAATAAATTTTATGTAAATTTATGTTTATATACATTTATCTAATGATTATCTAAAAACGAAGTATATGCCTAGGAACTATTGTGGACAGAGTCTTCGAATTTTTTGGGTCTTTTATGACTTACTTGCACAACAAAATATATTTGAGATAGGGTAAATGATTGCAATATTATATTTTGATAAATATAGCGATGTTCTCTAGTACAATATGAATTGTGAATACCTATATAAATGGTGGTAAAACACAAAAAGGTCAATGATAATAACTTAGTGCTAGACCAGTCGTGTATTATCTAGGTAAGACTACGACTGGTATTTTTAAAGACGTATTAAAAGTTTTCAAATGATGAAATATGGCTTGCCGCAATCTTCCGGGTTAATCAAATTATTTTCCCACCGAACGGTTGCCGTACAATTACGTTGAAAGCGTGAAGTATTTTTATTTTTTTATAATTATCTTTTTATTCAGATTTTTCATCAATGCAATTTAAATGTACAATAAATAGCAAAACATTCACTCATTTGTATACTGGCACATACATACATAAACCTATATCTGTTATGTCCACATTTGCCATAGAGGAAATTCATTATCAGGATAATTATTTTTAACCACACTAGCATAAACTTACATACTCATTTCCGTCTATTTTTACATTTTAACATTTTATTACCAATATATGCATCCATCCATGTCTCTGACATATATATGTCTCAATCATTCATTGCTATGTCTCGTGTAAAAATAGAACACATATGATATATATCTTTATGCTAGAAAAAATATCTGCACTAAATTATATATAACCGCACATACTGTATAACTCATGTCCATGTCAAAAACACCCCTGTCCATGTATAAATATAATTAATATGATTTCACCATACTCACATGCGTTGTACTCACACAAAGCCATATGCATGATATTAGACATTTTCAGACATCCTGTATCTTTTAGTACTTAATATTGATATATAAATTTATGCAAAGAGAAGAAATATCAGTCCCACACAAAAAGGTAAATTAGAAATTTGCACAGACTGTCTACGGAGTACATTGCATTGTCTTTATAAGAAAGAGGAATTGAGATAGAGATTGAGAAAATAAAAAGAAACGGAGAACATAAAGAAAAGAGAGAAGAAATGTAAGAAAGTTGAGCGACATGGTGGAAAAAGAGGTGGATATTCGCTCATGTATATTATATTATATATAGGTAATATATCGGCTTTGTGAAGGGCAGAAATTAAAATATGTATGATGGAGTATGTCTTAAAGATAATAATTATAATGATAATATGATAAAAAAATGAATTACAACTTAATTAGTTTGTCCCATTTTTTCCAGTCATTTTCAAATTTATGTTTAGCTTTTTCATCCTTACCATTAACGATGTGTTTTTGAATCTGATAGTTGTCTTTTATTATGTTTACAAGAGCGTTTATATGTAAACATCTCATTCTGTAAAAAAACCTGCTTTATAATGATGATGATTTCATTATCTACTCGATTACTGGGAAGAAAAAAATTCTAATGAAGAAAACCAAAAAGAAAAGATTTCTTGTTTACTGAAAATGGGATTAAAAGAGCTTCCATTAATGTGTCAAAACTTTCTAGTAATCTTTGTACTTCCTCACCTTCTAATAATATATGAGTAATTGTTTCCGTGAAGTATTACGTTACAGTATTTTCACTTCTTCGCGTGTTTACAGTTAATATCTTTTTACCTTTGACGCCTACGGTATTTTCGGTATTGTTCTGTTATCTCCGACATTCATTTATATGTCATGTGGATTCTACCTTACACACACAAAAACTGAAATCTAGGAGTTTACATAACTGTAAAAGGTTAAAAATGCTACTAAACCGGCAAAAACATCGATGGTGAACCAAATGTACAAAGTAATAGAGAAAATATTCAAATCAAAGACAGTATGCTCCGGCGCCCTAGATCTCTCGGCCAAACACTGGTAGCAATCGTCTGTCACGTATTAATTTCAAAATCTTATCGGAAATAACAATATTTTTCTCTAACATTAGTTGAAATTTAAATGCTAGAAATCATGAGATTCATAAAAGTATCTTAGCATTCATAACTACTCCAGTTCAATGCAATATAATGTCCCTTTTAAGGCCACATAAACGAATTAGCATCAAAACACAGCAATAACTGAAGAGTGCCCGAAATGTTTTGATATTAACATGGTTATCAAAGATACGATATTACACAAAAATAATAATAACAAACAATTATTATAATTGAACATTGTTTCATTGTACACTTAGTCATATTTATGCCGCAAAGGGTTTTTATGTAATCCTTTGCAATGCAGAAAGATTTGGCATATCATACAGCGTAATGTATTTATAAATCATATTGATGTCGTTTGGTTTTACTTTGTCTAACAGCTAAGGTCCTTTAAGGCGTGCCTTAATGTGTTGTGTGTATGCGTACGTGTGCAGGAGACAGGGTATGTTGGTGAAGATGTGAAAGGACAATGGCGGAGTTTGAAAAGAATTGTGTT